CTATAAAAATTAGATAGTGAAATGCATTTATTCTTTGAAAATCTCCTCTACTCCGGGATGTTAAACAAACTGTTATGATGAGGAAGGGTTTCTTCTCCAAAGTTCTGAAATTCATGACACAAGGGTCAGGGGTTCTAGTGTTAGGGTGAGGCTATATAAATTATATAGCAAAAATATATTAATTCTTAGGAAAATAATTCTTCTCTGCTCCTGGCTATTAATCAAACTACATTTAACTACATATAGTTATTGTTAGCAAGGGAGCCATAAAATTGCGAATGTTGTAAAGAACATGATGTTAAGATGACCTATAAGACCAAGGGGTCTCTTGCCTTGATCTAATGAGAGAACCTCTAGTACCCCGTTAATATGCATTTTATACGTATCCTCTTGTCCGCCCTAATTTTCTCTTGAGATGTCTCTTCGTTAAAACGAGTCTAGAAACGTTTATACTTTATCTCTGCATTCATATATATTTTATTTTATGTCTGGTTTCCTTAAAAATGTACTTCAATGGATATCCCTTGTCTCCCTTTTTATGTTCGATACAAAGTGACCTCTGGTCCTCTTATGATGTACACATACGTTGACATTGGTACTACTAATAATGAACACATTAGGTGACCTCTGGCACCTTAATGATGTACAGTGTAAGGTTACCCTTATCTCCCTGTTGATGTTTACATAAGGTGACCTCTACCTCTGGTCCCCCTACTGAAACAAAATTAGGTGACATCTTTTCCCCCTATTGATGTACATAAAAGGTGACTACTGGTCCCTTGACTGATATACACATAAGATAAACTCTGGTCCCTCTAATGATGCACAATATAAGGTGACCTCTGGTCCCCCTACTGATGTACAATATAATGTGACCTCTTGTCCCCCTACTGATGTAAAATAGACGGTGACCTCTGGTCCCCTACTGATGTACAATATAAGATGACCTCTTGACCCCCTGTTGATGTACATATTAAGTGACCTCTGGTCCCCCTACTGATGTCCAACATAAGGTAACCTCTGATCCCCCTAGTGATGTAAAATATAAGGTGACCTCTTGTCCCTCTTCTGATGTACAATATTTGTTGAACTCTGGTTCCCTACTGATGTACAATAAAAGATGACCTCTGATCACCCATACTGTTGTACAATATAAGGTGACCTCTGGTCCCCCTTCTGATGTACAGTATAAGATATCCTCTGGTCCCCTTAATTATGAACAATATAAGGTTACCTATGGTCCCCCTATTAATGTATAATATAAGGTGACTTCTGTTCCTCGTATTGATGTACAATCTACAGTGACCCCTGGTCATATCATACATATAGTACATGTCTTCGAGGGCAGCAATTCCAGAATATTTGTCCCGAGGTGACAGAAAAGCCCTGGAGTAATCGGCAGAGGGCGACATATAACACTTCATGGCTTTCCTGTAACCGAGAAGCAAATATTCTGGTATATTGCTGCCCGAGAATTAAGTCATGTTATACATGGTAAACAGAATGAAATTACACCATTCAGTCGAAGGAATTGTAACTGAATGCCCACTGAATGGTCACAAAAAGGTCACTGAAAAGATCCTTCTCTGTGATCATTCAGTTACCATTCAGTCGACTGAATGGCAGATACATTTCAGTGACCTTTCAGTTATCATTTAGCTGCATCTTTTTATTGAATAATCAACTTATTTTTTAACTTAAAAATTTTGTTTCACTCTTTTCCTTATTTGATACCATTAGTTTTATCTATTTTTGAATAAAAAAAAAATTAAAAAAAATAATGCATGAAAAAATAATTTGCACAAAGCCAGAATGGAACCCTGGCCTCCAGCGAGGAAGTCTGCAATCTTATCTATTACGCTACAACTTCGTATTGTAAACATATATATTAAAATCAATCAATATAAAGAAATCGAAATTTAACACTCGATTCACCTGATGTATCTAGGAGCTGTGATGTGTATAAGACCGCGAAACATAACTGGCAAAATTGGAAATATACCGCTTACGTCATTTCTATCTGTTACAATCGAAAAATTCAGTGATAGGCAATAAAATAGACGCGGACGTTGGGAAAACATCGGATTGAAATTGCAGATCGCAATTCATTTTCAATCCACCTGAGCTGTTTTTAAAGCAAAAAATGAATGTATGATCCAAAAATCAACTAATTTCACTCCCAAATACATATTGTTTGAAGTTCACATTAATACGAGTTTTAGTTTATAATTTTAAGAACGCGAAAGATCATAGAAGACAAAGATTATTTTTCAGGAGATATTTGATTCTAGAAGGGGGGGGGGGGGTAAAAATTGTCGAGTCAGGTCATGGCCTAACATGACAATATATTTTATTTCTAGGATTATAAGAGTGTATGAGTTTTATACTTATTCTCACTGAAAACTGTTCGACAAATTTATTTAAAAATCGTTCACCCCCCCCCCCGTACCTAACACAAACATATACATATATGTCCCATAGATATTAATTTATTCAAAACACTGGATTAAAAAATCAAAAATCAAACAGTACCAAAATTGAAATTATTTGTTTTCTAGGTCAATCAGTAAAAGGTCAATGTGCCTTCTAGCGAACATGAGGTAGATTAAAAATGAATTTAATTCTGCAATTTCAATCCGATGTTTTCCCCACGTCCGTGTCGAATTGTACCCGCCCATTTCATTGTCTATCACTGAATGTTTTGATTGTAACAGATAGAAAGGATGTAAGATGTGTATTTTCAATTTTGAAAATTAATGTTCCGCGGTCTTGTATATATTTTATTTATTCCATATATATTGCGCGGATTTGGGGACGGGCGGATTAATTACACATCTCTTCTTGCACGATTACAATTGTCAGCGACAGGCACCTATTTATTTGTCAAAGAAAATCTCCTCGGGGATTGTAAATTCTCTATGCAGAAAATAAGCAAAATAATTTTGAAACAGTATCATTTAAAAACTACAGATTTAATGTACAATATTAAATTTCTTCCACAAGAGGTATATGTCAAATGATTAATTCTATTCATGTAAAATGATTTTACATTATGTTTTCTAATAGCTAAAATATCCTGCGGTTTTGACAAGTAAGAAACAAAATTTATATAAATGTTCTTCCAGAAAATGTATAAATAATATTAATTCTGTCTCATAATTCAATATTTATTTAGATATTTCCATGAAAAATATAAGCACTGTAGAATGTGTACGATTGCCTTAATAATAGTGTAATTTATATAAATATAAGAGCTGCAAAAATGAGAACATTTTTCTTGTTATATTCAGAATGCATTTTGACGAAAGTCCTCTTTTTGGATTGATGGCTAATTCATTTAAAAGCTTATTAAATTGAATATTTATCACCGAATTAGAGATTTACAGAAAGAAAATTATAAAAAAAAAAAAAAAAAAACTAGGGATGGCAATCGATTACAGAATTGCCAATCGGTTAATCGCTGTACGTTCCGACCGATTAACCAGTTAGTCGTATCAAAAATACATATTTATTTCATAATTATATTTGGTTTTTTTATCTTCAAGAAACTCTATTTCAGAAACAGAAAGAAATTCTTTTTTTAAAAGTGATAAACTGTTGATATTTAATCAGAACAATTCGTGAATTTATTTTTTACAACTCGAAAAAGGATAAAGAAATCACAAAAAACATGCATGCTTTATGTAGTTCATATTAACAGCTTTTCAAGTCAATCAACAATCGTGATACACTCTTCATTGTTGTCGATGTCATTAGTATTTGAAATGAGTTGCCGATTTTTGTTTAAGAAAATTATTTGATCGATAACGGCTGATGACAGACGACTCCTAAGTTTGTTGATAATAATTCCGGATGTAACGAAGCAGTTGATGAACACTGGAGTGAAATCTGCAACCTGTTCAGTGAATCAAGCAAGAAGTGTCTAGGGTTTAAAAGGCAAGTGCATAAAAAGTGGATTACACCAGATACTTGGAATATCATTGACAGAAGGAAAGGCCTTAAAACCAAGCTATGTAACACCCACTCTGAAAGAATAAAAGAGAGATTAAGAGAGCAATATTCCAACTGCAATAGAGAGGTGAAGAAAGCAAAAAAGAAAGATCGTAACAGTTTTATAGCAGGCATTGCAAAAGAAGCTGAGAAAGCTGCTTCTGAACAAAGAATGGGAGATCTATATCAAATAATAAAAAAGTTGAGTGGAAGGAAAAGAAAAACAAACATGCCTGTGAAAGACAAGCAAGGCAACCTCATTACATCCGAAAGGGAACAAGATGAAAGATGGAAAGAACATTTTGAAGAAGTGTTGAATCGCCGAGAGCCTAACGAACTGGCACACATACCGGAAGCTGACACTGACTTAGAAATTGAAACAGAGGTACCATCTAAAGCTGAAATACTCAAAGCAATAACAGCCCTTAAGAACAACAAAGCACCTGGAAATGACAAACTGCCAGCAGAGCAATTCAAAGCAGACCCAAACCTTGCAGCAGACATCTTACACTCATTATTCACCAAGATCTGGAATAGAAATACAATACCAACGACATGGTCCAAAGGAAATATCATGAAAGTACCAAAGAAGGGAGGTCTTACTAACTGCGATAAATGGAGGGGCATCACATTACTATCAATACCGAGTAAGATTTTCAGCAGAATAATTATTGACAGAATTAAAACTGCAATAGATGCCAAACTAAGACAAGAACAAGCAGGTTTTAGGAAAGGGAAAAGTTGTTGCGACCAGGTGTTTACCCTACGAAATATTATCGAGCAATGTACAGAGTGGCAAAGGCAGCTTATAATAAACTTTATAGATTTCGAGAAAGCCTTTGACAGTATCCACAGGGAAAGTCTATGAAAGACCTAGACTACGCAGATGACTTGGCCCTACTATCACATCTGGAAAAGCATATGCAAAGTAAAACATCAAAATTACAAAAATGAGAATATATAACAGCTGCGTACTGTCTGTCCTACTCGATGGGTCTGAATGCTGGAGAATGACAGAAGGAGACATGTACAAACTCTCTAGTTTCCACAATGGATGCCTCAGAAAGATCATGAGGATTTTCTGGCCAAACAAAATCATAAATGTGGAACTACATGAGAAGGCCAACACAGATAATATGCGTACTTTGTTAACAAAACGGAGATGGCGATGGATAGGGCATGTGTTGAGGAAACCAGCCGAATGCATCACCAAAGAAGCCCTTAGATGGACACCGGAAGGGAAGAGGAAACCTGGTCGGCCAAAGAACACCTGGCGAAGGACGGTTGAAAAAGAAATGAGGGACCACAAACTAACGTGGGGAGAGTTAGAAAGAAATGCTAAAGATAGAGAAAATTGGAAAGATCTAGTCCTTGCCCTATGTGCCCACGGGCATAACAAGGACTAGGTAGGTAGGTAATTCCGGATGTAGAAAATATTCTTTCCGAGGGCACGGATGTTCCTGGAATTCATAAATATTTTTTTTGCCAAGCCGGCGAGATTATGGAAATGTGTCTCATGTTCAGCCCATCATTTCAAAGGATCAACGCTTTGTGTTTCTTTCCCGTTCATAAACTGCGATAATTCACTTTCTGCAGTTTTTCCATCTGCATGATCTAGCTCTCTCTTAAAATATTTCCAAGCATGCGATGTCGTTGGGGTGGCATTTTCAAAGACAAAAGGTAGTTAGTACATGTAGTTACACATTAAAAGTCGTTACACACAAACTTAAACAGTATTCAGTAGTGAATTAATATCCTTCAAGCATGACTAGAGAAACGCCGGTTATGTTCATGTCGGAAAGAGGTCGGTGTTTTAACAGTAATTAGCACTTCTCAAACCGTCCAAAAACCCTGATGTCAATTATAGTTTCTCCAAATTATTATAATTGGACAACTTTGATACCGTTTAATCACAGTTCGAGATTTGGAATGAAAAATTACAACTTGAGAAATTTTGCTAAAAATAACATGTTTTCATTTTTTTGATCCGACTAACCGATTAGAGAATTTGCAATCGATTACCATCGTTCCGACCGATTAATCGATTAACCGGTTAGAAATTGACATCCCTAAAAAAACTAAAACATTTAATTATTTTTTTAATCGAGTATCGGATCCTTATTTTCTGTATCACTTGTAGAATTTCTGTTTTCTGACTCTAATTAGAAAATTAAAAATAATTTGGAATTTTATGATCCACAGTTGAACTGGTATCATTGTTTTTGTTACATTATAAATAAATAATTATTTAGACACATCGTTTCCAACTTAAGACCTTCTACTGATTCTGATGATTAAGATTAATCTTAATACATGTATTCTTTTTTTTCTTCCTAGACGCCAACCTTTGCGCCTCATATACATGTAGTTCTCATTCCTGAACAGATTTTGTTCTAATTTTTAGAGCTGTTAGACTTTTCAAAACCATTTTTTAAAACTGTTACTCAATTCGGAAATTACCTTCTATTTATGAGTTACTACCCTTTGATTGAGTTTTTTTTTAAAGCTTCTGATTTCCAGACAAATGCTCTGAGAAGGTAATAATTGGAGCACAAAACCCCTTGAATTGAAAAGAGGAAGCATTGAAGTTGTGCACATCGGGTTTTGTTTAATGTATTTTTGCATTGAAACTGGCGCGTGAAAGAGGTCAAAAGTTAGAAAGATGAAAAACGCAAAAAATATGACATATTTTCCTTCATATCTTGAAAAACTAAAAATATTATGTTAAGACACGTTGAATAAAAGTTATGCAAAATTGCAAGAGCTTTCATTTAATATCATTTGAAAGGGGCTAGCCCCTAAAATTAGAGATCTATTGGCCTAAAACTCAAAAACGGTAAATATTTTGATATGGTTGTCGCTTATAAAATTGGTACTTTATATCATTTCTGTCCAATGAAAATATTATTTTGTTCGAGTCTTGCATATGGTAGGAAAGAAAGCTTGCTCCATAAAACAAGGCCCCGTTCTCATTTTGCTATTGAGGGATAACTTTTTATGCGTATAATTAAAATAAACTTGCCGTAAGTAATAAACATTTTACAATGTTGATCATAATTATATTACATTAAAAGTTTAAATCTAAAGTTTAAACTTATCTATGAGATAGTTATAGATAAGTTTAAAATTTAGATTTAAACTTTTAATGTAACAATTATTTGAGTTGAAGGGAGCCCATCAATCCGTGGCAGATCGGCTCGTAGCAAAGGAGCGTCAACTTAGTTTTATTAGGTTGATGCCACCAGTACCCACTGTTCCTATTCCTCTACAGAAGAAAAGTGTCGGAACCAACACGGATACTTTTAGGGACGTCAGCGACGCAACCACACAAATGCCAGCGATGGAAGCGCGCAGAACAGGAAAAGTTTGGTACCCGCCAGGTCATCCTAACAACGTAGAAGCCAAACAGTCCACTAAGAAAAAGAGACCGAGGCAAAATCAAAAACAACAGAATTTTGCGTCCCCTAAGTACCCCGCATCCTCGTACCCTCGCATCGTGTATCAATCTTCGCAAGAACAGCACTTTGTATCCCTACAGCCTTCCATAAGGACAGACTATTGTGATCGTAATGGATATTGATTTAAGCTCCGAACAGTGACTTTTGCCAAATGATTTTAATTTCAAAACATTTGAAAGCTTGTCTAATTTTACATGCATTTTATTCTTTGATTTTTATATTTTGTGGACTCTGGGACAGAGTCTTACTCGGAGAGGGGAAGGATTGTCACAAAGTAAATTTTACCAAATTTATTTAAAATGTAACAGAATTTAAATTTACAGAAAGAAATTATTTTTTTATGCTTGTTTTTAACACATGTCGAAAATTATTTATCAACCAATTAATGTTTAGACAGTTAAAAGGAATTTGTCACTCAATATTTATTCAAGGAATTAGTGTCAATCCTCTGCCTCAAAGAGTGTCCGACTGGTATGTGTGATAATTGCGTAAATGTGTTAATTGAAGTTTGAGTGAATGCCGTAAGTTGTGTGAGAGAGTCAGTTTTAGATCCGCCGTGGACAATTCCTGACGTGAATATTAGATGCACTGGACATTCCGTCATCAAGAAAATATAGTTTTACTCTGGACTATTCCGAGTTACTAAAACGTTTGTGTGTGTGTCCGTGTGTAAGAGCGTTACAAATCGTCTTTGTTTTATGTGACTTCACTTGATTTATTTTTCAAAATACAAACTTTAACTTTTTCTTGCTTTACTTTCGTTTAATAAATTTTCATCACAAGTTCACTTGTGTTAATTATTTCAAATTAGGTTTTAAACGTGGTTTTTCGTTCCCGTTCAGAGTAATCGACGGCAACCTTTTCCTTTTATTAATAAAGATCTTTCCAAGAGAGAAAGAGAGAGAGAGAAGTATGAGTATCTTTTCTTCATTTAAAATGAACACAAACAATGTTAACGAAAACAATATAAGGTTGGATCTCATTTCTAGTCTATAATCGCAGTTAAAAGTTATATATGACATATCTGAGCTAAAAAAATTAAATACGAGATCAAGTGTAGATTTACATGATATTAACTATTTTTATGATCAAATTAAATTTTTGGCTGATTTTGAACTTAAAATATCCCCACGTTTCTATTAAAGTTAAATTGACATTAAACTGTGTCTGATATTTAATTCTGAGTCGGAAACAATTCGGTAATTGGTTTAAATCACGGATATATTTGAAAAGCGATTGATTTAATAAATTGTGTAATATAAAGGAAAGTCCTATCTTTATATAAAGTATTAAAACAGAAAATTCCTTCTAATTTTAGTTAGTCCAAACTTATCAAAAATACGCCATATAAGAAAAAATTATGTTTTTTTTAAAACAATTTAATAAACAATTTAGATACAATTGAACATTACGTGTGATTACGAGTTTTGGGTACCTGGATATTATCACGATAAGAAATTAAAAACACAGTTAAGATTGGATAATAAATTTATTCAAAATATTATTAAGGAAATACTATTCATTATAAACTATTTAGCCAATGAGAAAATCGCTGAATTGAGACTAAAATATTTCTAACAGATAACGGAAAGGTCACTGAAAGGTGACGGAAAGGTCACTGAAAGACGACGGAAATGTCACTGAAAGTTGACGGAAAGGTCACTGAAGGTCGACGGAAAGGTCACTGAAAGTTGACGAAAAGGTCAATGAAAGATAACTGAAATGTGTCTGCTGGTGACTGAAAGGTACCTGAAATGTGACTGAAAGGCAACTGAGAGATCACTGAAATGTACCTACCATTCAATGGCTGAATGACCACTGAAAATTCACTTAAAGCCGCCTTTCAGTTTTAACTGAAAGGTCTCGTTTCTTCCTGTGGTATATAAATTTTTTTAAAATTGAACCCAAATCGATCATCGAATATATTTATTGAACACTATGTACACATGTACATTGAGTATCATTCTTAAATATCTCTTCCTGTTTCATGGCAGAATGTTTTCAGTATGCTGACACTTGTCTTGATAACCTTTGTTAAATATTTCAGGAATTTTTCTCCTCAATTAAATTATCTAATTCCTCTGAATTCAATTGAATAAATCGCAGACATTGTCCGAACATATTAATTTTCGCGGAACTGTTTACGTTTGCTCAGCAACTGCCTCTGTGAATATCGAACCTGACGTAATTAAGATGCAGGATGATTGCACGCGAGGGAACATAACTGTGTTCGGGAGGGCTATATAACTGTTTTCGGTGTAATATAACTCTATCCGGCGAGAGAAAGGTAATCTTATGTTGTACAATATTACGATGTCACTGAAAGTTTCAAGTAGGAAATAATTTAAAATCGTGGTATGTGTTGAATTGTTTATCAAATCCACTCAAAAAAAAAACGTTTCGACGCAATTTTTTGACGGGGAAAAAATGTACAATATCTCCGAATTCTCTAAATGTGTGTAATTGCATGGAATTTGGAGGATAAGTCCACTTGCTTGTCTTCAAATACAGTACATGTATCGACTCAAAAGTAAATCACAAATGATGCATTTTTTAAAGTTTTATTTCTTTTTTTTTTACGTAGGTTCGATTGGTTTATGAAATTGATGTTTAAATTCCAGGGAAAGGGGGAGGAGAACTCCAGAGGAGAACTCCAGCCCCAACCTTCGCAATACAGGGTGTACATTTTCTTTGTAAGCTAAATAAAACCAGAGGTTTGCTAAATAGTATTTAACTGATGAGGTCTCCCTCATAAGTGAGACAAAGGACATTAAATACTTTATTAAAAAACGTTATTCGATTATATTAAAGGATCAATGAAAAGTACGAGCAAGAAGAAGAGGTAGGGGGTGGTAGAGGTCAAGATCATCCTCCTCCCTTTGCTTGTTAGAGATCTGTGAATGCAAAGACTGGATGTCGTTTACTGCGTGTCGTTTACTATTAGTAAG